AAAAAAAAAAAAAAAAAAAAAAAAGACATGGCATGGACCCAATTAGAGTTTTCAGTGATAGTCTTTCTGAGCAGCTGGCATTTAAGTTAGTACATTTTAGACGAAAAGGAACTGGCCTTGCAAAGATCATTCCTGGCAGATGGAACAGCATGTGAGGGAGTCTAAAATGCATAAGAATTTGATAAGAGGCTATTACAGTGAGAGATGGGTGGCTTGGACTAATGTGGTTGTAGTGGATGTGGTCAGATATTTGATAAATAAATTTATATTTGATAAATTTTGACAGGAGAGTTAATAGGATTTGTTGATAGATTGGCTATCCACCCAGGCATTTGTTTGTTTATTTCCAGGGGTGTTTTTGTTGTAGTTTTATAAGCTTCCTTGGTGATTCTAATCCACTCCAAAGTTTAAGAACCACTGACTTAATCTGTTTTCTTAATTAATTTCCCCCCTATAAATTCCCCTCATTCTATGTTCTCTCCTTGTGCCTTTTTTTAAATTGCACAAAATTTTTAGCAATGTTTAAGCCATTCTGTTCTTATGAGAACTATCATTTTATCTACCTTTTTTTTTTTTTTTTTTCGGTACGCGGGCCTCTCACTGTTGTGGCCTCTCACGTTGCGGAGCACAGGCTCCGGACACGCAGGCTCAGCGGCCATGCCTCACGGGCCCAGCTGCTCCACGGCATGTGGGATCTTCCCAGACCAGGGCACGAACCCGTGTCCCCTGCATCAGCAGGTGGACTCTCAACCACTGAGCCACCAGGGAAGCCCTTATCTACCATTTTTACCTTAGACAGTTCATTTCTTCGTACAAACAAAAACAGCAGGAATTTGCTTTCTTGTTATTTTACAGACTTGGAATACAGCTGTGAGACCAAAAGGTCATGTCCAGAAAAGGGAACTTGTGAAATGGAATCACTGCAATGGGAGAATATGAGGAAACCTATCAGCCATAACCTTGAGTGCAATGATCTTGGAGAAAATACAGAGTGCAAAGGCAAGTTTGAGGATCAACAGAGAAGTCAGGAAAGACCATACATGCACATGAAAATTACCTGTAAAGAAGAGGCCACTCAAAGCCATTCCATGTCCCCTATTCTTCATCAGATAAATCCTACCAAGGAAAAATTGTACAACTGTAAGGAATGTAAACAAGCTTTCAGCTACTTGTCATGCCTTATTCAACATGAGAAAAGTCATAATAAAGAAAAACACTCTGACGTTAAGAAATGTAGGAAGATCTTCAGCAAAAAGCCAACCTATATTCAACATCAGAGGATTCAGAATGGTGAGAAACCTTATGAGTGTATGGAATGTGGAAAGGCCTTTGGTCGTAGTTCTGATCTGATTCAACATCAGAAAATTCATACTAATGAAAAACCTTATCAATGTAAAGCATGTGGGAAGGCCTTTATTCGTGGTTCACAACTCACTGAACATCAGAGAGTTCATACAGGAGAGAAACCATATGAATGTAAGAAATGTGGAAAAGCCTTTAGTTATTGTTCACAATATACGCTCCATCAGAGAATTCACAGTGGTGAAAAACCTTATGAATGTAAGGAATGTGGGAAGGCCTTTATTCTTGGCTCTCAGCTTACTTACCATCAAAGAATTCATAGTGGTGAGAAACCCTATGAGTGTAAGGAATGTGGAAAGGCTTTTATTCTTGGTTCACACCTTACTTATCATCAAAGAGTTCATACTGGTGAAAAGCCTTACAGATGTAAAGAATGTGGGAAGGCCTTTTTATGTGCCTCTCAACTTAATGAACATCAGAGAATTCACACAGGTGAGAAACCCTATGAATGTAAAGAATGTGGAAAGGCCTTTTCTCGTGGCTCACAACTTACTTATCATCTGAGAGTTCATACAGGTGAGAGACCCTATAAATGCAAAGAATGTGGGAAAGACTTTATTTCTAATTCTAATCTTACTCAACATCAGAGAATTCATACAGGTGAGAAACCTTACAAATGTAAGGAATGTGGAAAGGCCTTTATTTGTGGCAAACAACTTAGTGAACATCAGAGAATTCATACAGGTGAGAAACCCTTTGAATGTAAGGAATGTGGAAAGACCTTTATTCGTGGTGCATATCTTACTCAACATGAGAAAATTCATGGTGAGAAGCATTATGAATGTAAGGAATGTGGGAAGACCTTTTTTCGTACCACACAACTTACATATCATCAGAGAATTCATACAGGTGAAAAACCCTACAAATGTAAGGAATGTGACAAAGCTTTTATTTATGGCTCACAACTTAGTGAACACCAGAGAATTCATAGAGGTGAAAAACCCTATGAATGTAAGCAATGTGGGAAGGCCTTTATTCGTGGCTCACACCTTACTGAACATCTAAGAACTCATAATGGTGAGAAACCCTATGAATGTAAGGAATGTGGGAAGGCCTTCAGTCGTGGCTCAGAACTTACTCTACATCAAAGGATCCATACTTGTGAGCAACCCTATGCATGTATACAGTGTGGTAAAGACTTTAAACGTCATTCACAACTTATTCAACATATGAGGCTTCATAACTGAGAAAGCTTTATATATGAGTTAATATAAGAAAGCCTTCACCCATCTTCAGCAGCTCTGGAATATTAGAGAACTCATATTATGTTTGTAATGAAATAGGACATCCTTTTTTTTTTTTTTTTTTTTTTTAACATATTTATTGGGGTATAATTGCTTTACAATGGTGTGTTAGTTTCTGCTTTATAACAGAGTGAAGCA